ATGGCCTACACAGAGGCATTCTCGCTGGAGCTGTCCTCGACATCATCCTCCTTGACCAGTTTTCCAAAGCGAACGACCTTCTCCACGTGCATGCTGGAGAAGTCAAACCCGGGCGCAAGGAGCCTGGCCTGGCGAGCAGCCTTGAGGAAGCCCCTCTTATGCTCCACCACGATGGAGCGCTCTACCTCCTCAAGTCTCCTCTCCAACGCCGCCTTCTCGGCCTCCAACGACGAAAGGTCTACTCTCTGGGCAACAATCTTCTCCTCTTTGCTACCAATGATGACCTCATCGCGAAGACGCTCCTCGGTTACCGACACCAGTTCGCTCTTCAAAAATGCGACCTCATCTCCCAAAGAGTGAACCTGCTCCCGAGAAGACATCACCTCGCCTCGGGACGAGGTAACAAGCCCCCACAACTCACCCACTCGGGAGGCATAGTTTTCATTGGAGCGCAAGGTGATCTCCAATGACTTCTGGGCCCTGGCAAGGCCCCCCCTCGCCGCCTGAAGCTCGGCTCCCTGCATCTTTGCTTCGCCAAGGGCGGCAGTTAGAACCTCGTTCTCCTCCCTCGGGACTCTATTTTCATCCTTCAGAGGTTGAACAAGACTCCTCAGCTTCGCCATGTCCTCCTGCTGCCTCGACCACTTGTGTTTCCAGTAATCCACAATGGTCGTGCCTCTCTGCAGGAAGATCTGGGTGGCATCGAAACTCTCCATCGGCCCGGCCGACTCGATCATCGCCTGATCAACTGTGCTCAGTGACCCCTTTGGGAAAAACTTCTCCAGAGTCACCGCGGCGCTCCACAGAGAGTCGACCTCCTCCGATGCGCTCAAATGCTCTAACCGCATGGGCGCGCCCTCTTGCGCATGGCGGTACGCAAGATACGGTCGCTTCGGCTTTGGCACTGGACCAGGGGTGGGAAACCCGGAGCTCAGCCCCTCCTTGCGAGCCTCGACAGAAGTAGACGCAGGTACCCCCTGCGCGACCATGGAAAGATTCCCTTCCGACACCCCTGAACTCGGAGGGCCCGAGACCCCAGTGTCGTTCCTCGCCTGCAAGAAACAAGGACACTCTTTTGAGAATAAAAGGTAAACAGAAGGGTAAAACGACAATGCCACAGAAGGGCCAACTGCTTACCTCGCCAACCAGAGCAGCAGGTACAGCACCCCGGATCGCCTCCTCAACAGCCGAGGTGACCCGCCCGACAGCAAGGACCACTTCCTCGGCAGCATCCCCTGCCTACAGGAAATAACCTCAAGTCAAAATGTAGAAAAAAAACATAAAATGAAGAAAATAGAAACAAGACTAAGAAAAGAAAAATACTCACCGCGGCAACCTGGACAACTTGCTCAGTAGCTTGGGCCAGCACCTCGCCAGGCTGAGTGATAGGCTCAATAGCCAATGCCACCTCTTCGGCGGCCACACGAACGACCCCCTCCGACGGCGGACATCCAGCAAGGTCCACCACGCCGGCTTCAGCAGCCGCGGAGGCAACCTCCCCTATTCCATGAGGGGCAGAGGTCCCCCTGACCTCTCTCCCGCCCCTCTTTCTTTTCCAGTTCACTTTCAAGGGGGAAACCTCCTCCTCTGGAGGCTTAGAGACCTCGAGCTCGGTCACGTTGAAGCATTGCTTCAGTTCAAGCCATAAATCCTCCCCTATAATGCCTGCAGACAGAAAATACGGCACATCAGCAAAGAAGAATTACACAAACCTCAACAAGCTACCAAAACATAAGATACTCACCCTCGAGGCCCCTCTCCCTATGCGTCAAGTTCGCCAGCGACAAGATCGACTTGCAGTCCAACGGGCGAGGAGGTGCCGAAAGATTCCCAATGGCGGCAGCCTCCGAGGCCGTCAATTGCGAAGGATCCACCCCGTGGAACCTAGACGGTTTGGGGCACCAGTAGAAAGGGAACTTCGGCAATCCACCGAAGTAGAAGCCCCCATCCTCTAAAGGGTCAACGTCCACGAGGGCAACCCGGAAGAACTCGGTTTTGAAATTTTTATAAGACTGGGAGTAAAGAGTGAATAAACCCCCCACTTTACTCCCGTTCAAAGAAAGAACGCCATAAGGCAGAACACCTAGCTTCAACTGATAAAAGTGAAGGAAAACGCGAAGGGACAACTCTATCCCTAGGACCGCACACAAGACTTGAAACGCCCTCAAAAAACCCCAGCTATTGGGGTGTAGCTGGCAAGGAGCCGCGTTGATGTAGTTCAAGAAATCACACTCAAACTGAGTGAAAGGAAGACAAACGCCCAGGTCCCTGAAGAAACACTGATAGACATAGAAATGAGGAGGGTCGGTAGACCTCCCCATATACACACCCTCACCGGCCGGACAGGGCTCGAGTCGAATCATCCGGGAAATGGAAGGGTCGCAAATCCGGTGCGTCTTCCAAACCGCATTGACCTCCAGAGGCGATCTGAACACACTTTGGACCCCTCTCATTTCGCGCTTAACCCAGTTGTAGCCAGGAACGCCCGACTCCAGGTCCTTGGGCGGAGGCGGGTCTTTCCTCTCGGCGGTGCCCCTCCCGGTAGCCATCGCCTTGCCACGCGCCTTGCCCCTGGCAGGTGCAGAAGAACTGGCGCCACGACCACCATCCATCAAGAGGAGTAATAGAACTCGAAGAGGAACTGTGAAAACGGAGACGAAAAATGAACGGAAGCAAGAAGGCAAGAAAAGTTATCGTACTCGAGAAGCCAAGAAGCAGAAAAAGAATAAAGTGGAAAGGGGAAGAGGCGCGAAGGAGAGAAAAGGTTTTTTCCAAAATCCAAACGGCCGCAACACGTGTCAACCAGGGGGCACACCTAATCACGCATTAAATAAGGCCATCATCACATAATCGTCACGCCCATTAACGCGCCGACCTCGGTTACTGAAATGAGAAACGACGGTTACGACACATGGCACCCTGACAGGCCAACGTACGCGAAAGGTCACTCCCCTCTAGCGAGCTCGGTCTTAACTCCTTGACCTATGGTCTTCGGAGCTCGGGGGGCTAGTGTACTGTCCGTACTGCGAAGCCGAGCTCCGAGCTCGGCATCACAGTGCAAGATGACCTCGGGCACACGCTACGCGACGTCAGCTCGGCATTTAGGTAAATCATACCTGATCTCAAACGAGACCCATTATCTAATCTTATCATATCTTATCTCAGGCCAAGGGCCCGAACCAACCCTAATTCCTACTAAGGTACGTGCATTACTTATACGAGATTCATACTCATACAAACCCTAACTTTAGCATCGGAGTCTCTTTTGCAGGTACCACGCCCATCTTGGAACACAAACGTACCAGTGAAGGAGGCTCACCGATCTTACCTGGCAGATCAGCTCTACGGCAGATTTCCGGTAACAACATCTTGTTTTAAATTTGATATGAAAATATTATATATAATTAGATAAGATTTTAAGTTAGTATTTTATTAATAGTTGATAATTAGAAAAATAAAGGATAAATATATTTTTTGAATTTTATATGTTTAATTTAAAGTAAATAAATATATTAAATTAATTAATAATTTATTTAAAATATTAAAATTTAATTTATAAGTATGTAATAAATAAATATTTATAATTTTATAAATTATAATATCATTATAAATTAAAAATTTTAAATAATTTAAATTATAATTTTAAATCAAAATAAGTAGATGTTAATTATAAAAGTAAGTACATATAAATAAAGAATAACTAAATATATTATTATTATTATTATTATTATTATTATTATTTGTAATATAAAATTATTATATATTATTATTATAGTACAAATATGAGATTGTATATTTGAGGATGACTTAAATGAATTAATTTGTACAAGTTATACTGACAACATACATATACATTTTGGTAGCATACTCATCAGAACTTCACAGTTAAGCGTGCTTGACCTGGAGTAGTATTGGGATGGGTGACCTTCTGGGAAGTTTCCCAGAAATTGCACAAGTAAGGATAAAACACGCTAAACAGTGAAATATTGTGAAATAGAACCCTTGAAAGGGCAAATATGAGGGTTGCTACATTAATAAATTTATTAAAATAAAAAAAATTATAATTTCCGACAGATTTTTTTGACAGATATTTTCGTCGGAAATTTCAGACGGATTTTTCTGTCGGAAAAATTATTTCCGACGCATTTTTCTTGTAGTGGTCAATTATGATGGTCAACTAATTTTTATTTGTAACATACTAATTTTTAAAAATAAAAATAAAAAAAGTATTTTAATACAAGAATTATATGTAATATTTAATTTAAATTAATTTAGTTAGTGATATAATTAAAATGTTTGAATTAGATAAAATGAAAACAATAGGATGTGGATTAGAGAGGAGTTTTGGGCTCTTAAGCCCAACCCGAAGTACTATATGTTGTATGAGTGATTTATAACATTTTTACCAAATGTTTAAGTGAAGAAGGGGAAGTAATGAATGTGAATGGATTTGGAGGACCCTTAATCGTGTAGCTCATGAGTGCATAATCTGTGATGGCATTGGGTGCGCCTTCATGACATCAAGCATGATGAGTACAATTCTTTACCTTAGGCATCAGAAAGGCCATGTTGGAGGATGAGAAGCTAGAGAGGTCTTTGAATTATATGTGTCAAGCGAGAGGTGTCTCACTTGGTGCCACTATTTTAAAAAAGCTAGTTCATAATACTTTAAAAATATGGAATCTAATAGTAAAATCACAATATCTTGCCAAATAAAAACTATTTAGTTGAAAAAATAGAGTATCTCCAATTTAGTACAAGCTTACAAATTCTAAAATAATGTGCCACTAATCATCCATACATTATTTTTGGAGCATGAAAAATATGGAATTATTACAAGGGGATTATGCTTTAAAAAATACAATACAAATATACAAAAATAAATTATCCAAAAGATTGAATCATGAATATTTTAAACACTTATATTTGTATATAATACAAAACATGAATCACAAGTTAGTTTGACCTAAATTTTTCTATGGGAGGTAAAACGCATACACTCATATCTCCCTCCCCATTGTAGCTTACAATAATTCACATGACAAAAGTACAAGCCGGTGGATGTTTTAAGCAACTCTTTTGCAAATAGTTTTATAAAGAGATTTAAGTTGTGTGTTCCATTTGTCAACAACATTGTATTTTTTCATTCCTTTAGACCTGAACCATGAATCATAAGGTTAATAAATACCAAGTTTTATTAAAAACGTATAATATAATGAATCCAATTAAACAACGAAAAAAACATAGATGCAAACCTATCATAGCATTCTAATATCCGGTTCACTTGATCAATATGTCCTTGAATTTTATTATCCAAAATCAGTGAGACCAATAGTTGCTCAACATCTTGCTCAGGAACATTAAGTTCCTGCAAATTAATGGATTTCATCATACAAAAGTAGTATATTAACCATAAGTGTATATTTAACAAATAAATCACACTATCAAATGAAAAAGTAACTACAATTTTTAACTCAATCATTTTCATCTCAAGTATTCCTTTAATTTGTTTAACAATAGTGAAAATATAATTACCTTAGATATGAAAGAAATCTTAATCCTCGTATATGGTTTGATGAGCTTCAACAAGACTTGTGTTCTAATATTCCTCAACAAATCTTCAATATAATTTCTAATAAATGGATCATCCATAATTGTTCCTCTGTTATTCTGTAAGGTACATTATGTAATATTGGTTTAAAATAAAATAGTAAATAGAAAACATGGATAAATACGTTAAAGTCAAATTTGTGCATGCAATATCAATAAAAGTACCTTCAAGATTTCCTCGAATTCCAATATTTCATTTCGTTGATAAGCTGCTATTAAATTTGTCATGACCAAAATTTCAGGGTCATTCTTGTATCTACATTATAAAAATAAACAAGGTGAAATCATTAGGAGAAAAAAAAAAGTATTACCTTTACTTCATTGGATAATCTATAGGATCATGTGGATGAAAATTAAGTAAAATTAAAATATACAAAAGAAACACAATGAATAGGACTTACGACTTAGCTTCCTGCCCATCAAACGGATTTACTTCAGACTCCATCAACATGTTAGCAAGAACAAGGTACCTGATGCATAAATAATAATTATTGTACAAAATGTCAAAACAAAGGATGATATATTCAATGGTTTGTTAGTTTTTTTTAAATCATTATATATATGTGTGTGTGTGTGTGTGTGTGTGTGTAAAGGATTCATATTTTAATGTCCATTGAGAATTGTGTGCACATATCTAATATATGAACAATGACACATATATGTTGAATTTAAAAAAAGATGGGTTAGAAAGACACAAACTAGTTATTCTACAATAATTATATTTTTTATATGTTTAAGTGAAAAGTATATAAATATTGCTATATACATTGTTTAAAGTTAATAGTAAAAAATTGTTGTTACACCTACTTTAAGCATTGGATACGTCTTTGATTCCCAGCTTCATCATAATTTTTAAAAGCTTCAAAGAAATCAGTAGTTGCTTCTACCCATTGGTGCTCCACCATATGCATTTTCCCCCCACATTCATGGATTATTCCCATTATCCTTGGATGGGGAATTGCTGACTTAACAGTGAGTGATTTTTTGTAAAGTTGCTGCATTTAATAAAATGAATAATAGTAAATATTGGTAAATAAACCTTTACACAATACTCTATCGAAGAGGTGTATATGAGTGAAATTAGAAAGGACAATTAGTCTAGTGAATATTCAAAGTTAGAAAAGTAATCAACATAATACATTTCATCAAAATTCCATAGAACGATTTCATCATTTTTTTAACAAAAATTAAAATGGAATTTAGGATTTTATTTTATTGTAATCTATGGGAGTAGACTCTGCATGCAAAATTTGTTTAATTATTTTCACTTTTCATACCCATTTTTTTTTTAAGCTCTCTCTTTATATTACAAAATCAATGGTTATGAATTCTTTTACAAGTAATAATACTGTAGTTAAGAAAGACAACTTTTATTGAAAAATGAATATTTTTATTTGAGATAAGATGACTCTTAAATTTTCGTAATTTGATTACCAACTTAAGGATTCTATTGTCAAGATTGTAATTCTCATCAAAGACCATAGTTTTTCCCACAAATAATAAATGGTAAACTCCTCTCAAAATGAATAATTTTTAGTGAATATCACCCTATTCAATATTTTTATGTTATGAGAATATATAGATGAACTTACAAAAGTATATGTATAGAAACAAAAATTATATTTTTATTATTCATAAATATATATCTTCTAAACTTGTTTTTACAAAGGTTCAAGATTTTTTTCTAAAATACTTATAAATTCATGCAATTGAATCTAAACTGTTTAATTATAGATAATGAGTAAAGTTTAAAAGAAGGTTCAAAGATAAATTGCTAACAAACACACTAAAAGAAATTGAAAGACATATAATTACTTAAATCATGAAAGATAAGGAACAAGAGTTTCTTCTTTAGAAAAAATGTTGACCTTAAGTTTGATGTTGTTCTTGGTCTTTGTGTACATTTGAATCTCTATAGCATATATCTCCAAAAGTTGAGTTCCTTTGTTATGGTCATATGTCCCATCTTCTCTTTTACAAGAATTGTGAAGCTCTTTTAAGATCTAGCAAGACACAACAAATCTTTGAATTATTGAATAGTAAATATTATACACCAATTCACCAATACCAAAATTTACAAAGGCACCTAAATGAATTTGAATAGTAAATTACATGAAAAAAATCATATCACCTTACTCATGCGTGCATATTCACCAACATCAAAATAAATCTTACAAAGCTTTAGATTTGTCTTAAACCACAATCTCTGCATAGTGAATGATGTACGAAAAATAATAATATAAGATCCTATAAATGAGAAAAATGAAATAAGATAAATCAATGAAATGTCCAATGGACTAACCTCATTCTTTGCTTTTTCATTGGCCCTTAAAGTTGTCTGGTAGAATTCTTGAAGAAGGGAAAAGTTTTGGCTTACTGAACTTGAGACATAGTCCATAATGTTGCTTATGCATTTTTCACTATAGTTACGAGTCACTGCTGACTTAATATATGTCAACATCTTCCTATATGCGTCCATCATCTCTTTGTACCTTCCCATTTGACAATATAGCTTGACAGTTTGTTTTAGAGCTTTAAATCCCCTAGTATAATACAAAATAAAAATTAAGTGTAAAATGATTTGTTTTGTGATCACGTTAAAAGGATTCTTGGACAAATATCACTATGTGATACACGAAAAAGTACAAGAAGTATAGATACAAATGTAAAATCCTACTACAAATATATAATATAATAAGAAACTTGTTTAAGACTTCACTCGCATAAGCCATATCTATTAATTTTTTCAGAGTGCAACATTTCAAGAATGAGAGTTCTTACCATTCTGTCTTTTCTTGTTCCATTTCCACCACTTGAGTGAAACCAGCAAGTGCACCTTCTAAATTAGTTTGAATCATACCTACGCATATACACAAAACAATATCACCCCCAAAATGTCAACACAAGTAATTTATCAACTTGTCACAAATTAGAGACAAGCCAAAAAAATATCATCGATCACAATCCATTAATTTCCATGAGGAACAAATATACACAACATACTAAATCCATGTTTCCTATTCAACAAAACAAGTTATACTCTAAATATATCATTAGACACTATTCAAAAAATGAAGTCGTAATTAACATTGTGTCTTTTTGAGCGAGTGTTTGCAAAATTGATTTTTGACTAAAACAAATTCTAAAACATTGTGTCATTAAACACAAATTCTAAAACAAACCAAGCCTTTATTTCCTAATTTAGCTATAGATCAAAATGGTAAATACTAAAAAGATTAAAAAAGGAACACTTCGAACAAAAATCTTATAAATTGTAACCAACCACAAACCAAGCTTGCAAATTGTTTCCCCAATTCATAAACGAAAATAACAAAATAATAATAGAACCTTTTGAATTGTAATATTGATTCTCAATATCAATGTCTTGCTCCTCTTGCTCTTCATCCGAATAGTCAAATCCATAATCCTCCATGTCATCATCTGCATAAAAAATTAATTAAACACTTAGTTTCATCATCACGCCTAATAAATACACCACCACCACCACCAATTGCTTACCGGAAGCCATATTGCATGAAATGGATTGAAGATCAAGGTTTTAGGGTTTTGATGGTTTGTTAGCAGCGACAGTAAGTGTGTAGAAGTCTTCACGCCCACAATGCTAAAAAGTTAGTAGAATTGCTAGAGGGTTAATAATAAACTAATGATGGAAGCCAATACTATTATTTATGGCCCAAATCTAAAATTGGGCCCATTTTGACTACTTGATCCAATCAAATAAAATTACTTAACTTTTGGACTTTTGGATATTGCTATTATTATTGTTATTATTGTTGTTGTCTTCATCGTCGTCGTCGTCATCATCATCATCATCATCATCATCATCATCATCATCATCATCATCATCATCATCATCATCACCACCACCACCACCACCA